GATGCACGACGCACGATGAAGGCCAAAATCGGGCCGATCGCCAAAACGGTCGCACGACTCAAAAATCGGCTCAAAATGGGCCAAAAATCGCACAGTGTGAGCCCGGCATAAGCCCAGCATAACACGTGGTTATGACGAAACTGTCATGAAATCATGAAATCAAGTCAAATCAAATGAAGGGACAAGATGTTTGTTCATCGTCCTAATTCTGCTAAATGTGGGCAAGTTTTGGTTGGATGCAGGTAAACGGTTCATGTGGAGAGTGAAGACTGTATTTGCTGAAATGCTGATTAGGAAAAAGCAGCGTGAACAAAAACAACAGAACTGAATAGAATAATGTATTTATTTTTAGAATATTCTCAGTCTATTGTTTGAATTGGTCAACACCAGCATACACGCTTGTGAATATGATTAATGAGTGTGGTTTTTTGTGAATTTACTGCATAAATTAAATTAATTTAGTGCAGATCTTTTTTTTCCCTACTGGGCGCACTGAGATACTCAGATTAATAAAACAATCGGCTACTCCAGGATATTACATTTTATACATTTCCCATGTTGTTTTTCCCGTGTTGTGGACTAATTAGACTGTTTGTCTGAGAATATGCATACTTTAGATTTGAGACATTTGAATATTCTGCTGTAAAAACTGAGAGAGCATGAAGACTGCCGAGGGACGTAAAACACGGAGACAATAAATGTGAATTAAACAGCTTCAACTATTGTTGTATCAAACTGAACATTTGAATGGCGCAGTGAAAAATGCCTCTGTTTCCCAGCTGTAATTAGTTACTCACGCAGCCAACCTGAATTACAAGTCTGCCTGAACTTAAACAATGTGGTCCCTGTGTTTAATTGCCTGTTAGGTTATTTATTTATATGAGAAAATGGTTATAATTGCTGGCTGTGAATGTACCCATTTTCAGTCATTAGGACAGATGGAGCCGCCTCTTTCAAGGAGGGCGGTGAAACAAGAGCTTTGATGTGGTTTACAGGAGGAAATCAGCTAGAAGCCATAATTCAATGTCGCTGGAAGAATTTTTATTTCTTAATTTGTGGCATTTCCACTTGGAATAAGTTTTTATTTGCACCTGTTAGGGCCAAACTCGCTGCTATTGACTCATCCTCTCATATTCTTGCCAGTAAAAGTTTTTTCTCATCATTAATTGTTAAATAGGTTTATTTTCTGCCAAGGAGAAAGAGTGCAACCAGGAGGCAATATGATAAAAAATTAAAGCACCCACAGCAAAGAACAAAAAGGCCCCAGAATTTCAACTCACATCACCACCAATGTTGTTGAACAACATTAGATTAATACACGTTAACACCAATATTAATATGCCGACATGAATGGGAATCTGGCAGTGACAGAGTGAGGAAAGACTTTTTGTTACGCTCTCAGTGTGTAGCTGATGACATGCTGACACACACGGAGCAGATCGCCTTACAGCACAGTCATCACAAAGGAAAAACAAAAATGATGTTGCATGATTTCACTTTTTAGCCAAATTTTGATTGCACGATTTTGATTACATACTTTCAGGATGAATGAACTGACAAACACATTTACACCTGAGCAGTACAGACGTGGCGTTTGATAACGAGGGGAGAAAAAGATAAAGAGCTCGGCTCAGGAAATGTTCTGGAGGGGGCAGAGATGTTTCACAGAATCAGAAACTCAGGTTTTCATTCATGACTCCTGATTTTTCACAAACAAAAATCAAACACACAAGGGGAAAAAGTCAATCAAAGAAAATCCACAAAAACCAGTTTCTCCGACTTTAGGCAGGCAAAGATAAGAAATGCAGTGTACCTTCAAACATTTCAATATGCCAGGTAGGACGTTTATACTTTTAATGTTTTAAACTTTACTTTAAACTTTTATACGTTTTTAGTGAGTACTCTCGGACATTTTAATGGTTATGGTCATCTCCATTGTCAAAATGATTCTGGTGAATGTATGAAACGGGTAGTTTTACAATTGGGTTATGGTTAGGTTTGGGCATTTGTTTTTGAGTAAGTGGCTAGGGAAAGCAGTATGTCAAAAAGATGTCCCCACAAGATATGAATACCCGACATGCGTGTGTGTCACTTTTCCTGCATGGTAACATACCTTGGTGACACTCGGGGCAACATTGGCCGTCCTGAATGACAGCCAGGGTGCCCAGAGGGCAGGTACGGCAGGATCTCAGATAACAAGTCACCTGGGCATCGTGGCATTCGCACTCACGACAACTGCCATCACTCCATCGAGCAAGGTTCTATAAAAGAGAGGACATAGTATTTGCAGCTGTAAATGGGAGGTTAATGTTCTCATTATGCTTAAAGTGTGACTGCGGTAAAGGCTTTTATAGAGGACGGACAGAATGTGGAAAATACTGAAAAGGATTTTGACTTTGAAGAAGCTGATTAACGATTAAAAAGGATGCCACACAGAGAAGGCAGTGGTCTGAATGCTAACCAGCTGCATGTGTCCGTTTTAAAAGAAGGCTGACAGTCACGACTCTCATATGTTTTTTGAAACAGAAAGAGTGAACTGACTGAGGCCAACTAAGGGGAGATATTCGAACAGGCGACAGCAGGAATGTCAGTCAAAGGGAAAAGAGCCTCACATGGAAAACTGAAACATTTTTCAAGAACCTGCAAAGACTTTAAACTTTCTACTGCCCACACGGGGAACCGAGCAGATCGCTTTAAAAACTAATGTGTGCCGTCACCTGGCTCTGACACCAGCACTACCATTATTTAAGAAATTCTACAGGTGTAAGAGCGAGTTTTCCTCATTTGCAGATAATAGTTTTTTTTCCTGAAAAGTTTTAGACTTCAGTCCTCTGAAGAACGAGATGATCCAAAGCTTGTCTTTAGCTTGACGATGTGAGAGACTAATAAACCTTGATTTTATCAGTCTCTCACATCGTTTTTAAGTTCTGATCCACTCCTTTTTATATAACTACTTCAGTTCATTGATGTTTGTGGCCATTCATTTAAGCACAGCTCCCATAACAGCATTTCAATCAAGGTTGAGGTGCAGACTTTAACTTGGCTGATTCTTTTTCTTAGTTGTAGGTTTGTTGCTGTGCTTTGAATCATTGCTCTGTTGCAAAGCCAAATGGCCTCACACTGGACTCTAGAAAACTTTGGTATACAGAGGAGTTCATATTTGAATCAATGATTGCAAAGTGCACACATCCGTCAGCTGCAAAACAAGCCCAAATCATCACCTCTCCACCACTGTGCTGACAGCTGATATGAGGTGTTTGTCCTGATTTGCTGCGTTTGGGGTTTACCAAACATGGCGCTGTGTGTTACGACTATTTTTCCAGAAGTCTTGTTGTCTGTTTGGATGCAATTTAGCAAACTGAAGTCACGCTGCCATGTTCTATTTGGAGAGCAGAGGCTTTCTCGGGGCAGCTCATCCAAAAAAGTTACACTTGTTTTTCTAATTGCACTTTAATATTTAACATGCTAACTGAAACCTGTAGAGTGTGAGATGTAGCTGTTTTTGCAGCGTCTCTCAGCATTGCACAGCCAGACCTTGGAGTGAAAGTCTGAGACATCCACTGCTGGGAAGATTCTGCTATTGTGCTAACACCCCTGAATGCTCCAGACGAGCACGCTGCCAAAACATCAGCTTTTGCAGAAGTGTTCACAGAGCATAATTGATTAGCAGCATGTAGCGGCTACTTACCCTCTTATGGATGGAAACCATAAGTTTCATCAGTTTTTCCATTTCATGGAGTCCTTAGAAAACCTTTTGTTTGCGTGATCGTATGTATGAGCACAGTTATAAGTACAAAATCAATACGAGCTTAATAAGCTTGTTGTTTAAGTGACATTAGTAATTATTAATCTCTGACTCTCTTCCACAGCATGTCTTTGTCCCGTCTTCCTCCTCTCACCCCTACTGGTCCCGACAGATGGCCCCGCCCCTCCCTGAGCCTGGCTCTGCTGGAGGTTTCTTCCTGTTGAAGGGAGTTTTTCCTTCCCACTGTGGCCAAAGCACTTGTATGCTCACATATGGGGTCATATTATTGTTGAGGTTTTCTCTGTTCTCTTCGTCTTACTGTAAGGTCTTTATCTTACAATATAAAGCACCTTGAGGCAAATGTTGCTTTATTCTGTGATATATAAATAAAATTCAATTCAATTCAACGGAAGTGAATCTATGCTATTTAATCCCAATCAGCTTTCTTTGCAGAGGTGAGAAAATAACTACCTGTGTGACAAATTATGTGAACAGCTTGGCTTAGCATCAAGAATAAAAGCAAAAACCTTTTTTATTCAGCTTGATCGATCTGTGCATGATGAGAAATCTAAAAATGTTATGGTGTTAGCCGATTTCTGCACTCTTCTCTCACTTGCATTTAATTCATCTTTAAAACTTCGTAAGTTAAAACTAATTTGGTCAATTAGCATAAGCCCCACACACGCACAGTATAAATCTGAGCTGGGCTGAGAGAGAAAACCTTGGCTCAACAGGACACTTTATATTCATATCTGAGATATTCTTTTATGCAAGGCAAACCTCTTTTTATTTATTATGCTTAAGGTTGTAATAAAATGTTCCCATTTAGACCAATCGCAGCTTCAAATAAACACCTGAAAACGGTTTCATTTCTTTCAGTTTCCCTGTAAATAGTCTGTTTATGTGCCTTTAAATCAACCAGAAGATAAGTGTTGGGTAAACACAGTTCATTATTCTAACTCATTAACTTTCCGAGCTGTTATTTTCCAAGTCACTCGTGAATTCAAACCAGTAATCATCCCGTCACAAACCTGCAGCTTTAACCTTTCGGTGACTCTCTCCCATCGCAGGAAAACACCAAAGCTGATACAACCGTGTATAAATGTGTGTAGGCGCATAATAAGTATGCAGTATCTATCTGTTTTTGTTTACTCGTGGTAAGATTAATTCCTCGTGGGACCAAAGAACAATCTATTCAAAAGGATAATAGTTCTCCCGACACTCGCTCTGAGCCACAGCGTCGTTCACCATCCTGCAGCGCTACATTAGCATCGTCCCCATCAATGTGAAAAAATTAAAGCTTTGCATTGTGGTTTTCCAGGTCTAACCTATGAATAATGAAGCTGACGAGCCTCTAAAAGAACACAAACAAAAGATTGGGACCTGATTAATTTCACAGCTCTGTCCAGAAAAACACATGTTTATTCCGTCTGAATGCAACTGTAATTTCCAGTGTTTGTGTACAGCTTAATAGCGATGTGTTTGTTTTCATAACAGCCTCCTCTGCAGAGAGACTTCATGCCACTTAGCTTCTTTTATCTTATGTGAAGGGAAAGAAGCCCTGTGGAGTCTTCGTCTCTCCCACACAGTAGGAATTCTTTGCCTGATTTTGCAATTTTCCATCTTGTTTATAAGCAAACAAGCTCAAAGTCAAATCTACACTTGTGATAGAAGTACCTTGTAGGATTTTCCCTTGTGCACACAGGAAGGTTTCGCAGACGAACACTCGGGGCAGCATTTCGCCGGCAGGTTAACGAGCTCAGATCCCTGAAAAAACAAAGAAAATGTACATTTTTATAAAATTCTCCTCATGAAGTTACTGACGGCAGCTAAAAGAAAAGAGTACAGCACAAGAGAAAGCTATTTTGGAAATGATGAAGGAGAATAAAGGAGTAACGTGGAAAAGAAACAGTAAAAGAAGGAAACAGGACAAGAACAACGAAGGAAGGGGTAAGAGGGAGAAGGAAGTATGGTTGGAAAGAAGGAGGAAGAGAGCGGTAGACAAAAGAAAATAAAATAAATAAATAAGACTGGAAGAAGAGGCAGACAAAGGGAGGGAACAGAAAAGATAAAGGAAAAGAGAGCAAACCAAAGTATTTGCTGTTAATCTTCACATAGAAAAACAAGCTAAGATGAGTCATCTAAACAGCATAACCTGATGGTTATTCAGCTATAATTTGATTGCTGATTGCTACTTATTAATAATTTAACTTTTTCCTCAAAAAAATTACAAACACTAGGAACTATTTTCTCTGCACCAAACTCCACCCACCAAGTTTCCTCTGCTCACTGAGCACGAGAAATTGGAAATCCACTCGTGTTTGTGACAGCATGACCAAATGAAAGTATTGCTCCATCCTCTTGAGATGTTAGGTTAGCTGTCGGGTACTGTAGCTACTTGATTCCTGTAAGTGGTGGATATTGCTCTAAAATAAGCTAAACTAAGAGCGACAGTTACTCAGCTTCTCCTGGATGGCTCTGCAGAGAAGGCGAGCATATTGTTGAATGGATCAAGTCATGAGAGTAGCGGAAATCATTAAATATTTGACAGTTTTGCAGTCTGCAGACAAAGAAAACTGCCCATGATATCATGCATCACATTAAAGTAAGACGGTTACGTTATTTATACTGACTGCACACAAATTACTGTCTTTTATGCATGTATTGACGTAGATGGACTCCCAACAAGACTCATGCATTACTATGATTACCTGGGTCATGATTTCTGGAGGGAGGCGCTGCTCCTGTGGTTATTTTTGGCACTTTAAACACTACACACCATTTAGTTCCATTATATTCAAGACATGGAAGTCATCTCTGTTGCAGATATCACCAAAATCTGGCATCTAGAGGCAGAAACTGCTTCTGTAACTTATCAATTTCTCCCATGTGTTATTGATTTTAATGGCTCCTCCTACACCCATACGCATTTCAACTTTAAGAAAAGATGAAACTTGGAAATAAAAGATGCATGTCACAGTAGTAGTATCCCAATACTGCAGTTTTCTAAGACTAGAAGTCCTTTCAGTACCATTACAGTAGGTACATTATTAGTGCAGGAATCATAAAATGACTGTATAACTGTACCCCAGTGCCTTTCTCCGCCTCCTGACCTACACATCATTAAACCCATAACCTTGTCTTAATTGTTTTGCACACACACACTCACGCACACACAAACACACAGTGGAAATTGGCTCTATCTTCTCTGCACGGTGACCTTGTTGAGTTCAAAGTTGGAAAAATGCCAGTTATGCTACTTAGAGCTAATGACACTTAGCAGCTGTAATTATCACCATACAGCATGATTAATGAGGGCTTATTTGGTCGTGGTCGGGGATATTAAAGCAATATTATTAAATCTGCTTGATGTAAAACTGGATGAGGTGTTGAGTCAACGTGGCGTGGAGCCTAAAGCGGGGGGACTGAAGCAACTATGGGAACACCGGCTAATAACTTTAACAAATCCTCTAGGCTGTTTTGTTCAAACACACTCACCTACATTCCTGACTGGGCCAAGTCTGACCTTTGATGACTTAACATGAAGGCTATTATTGCTTCTGCTGTTGCACTCTGACTTTTAAAGATGCTTTTAATAACACTTTACATGACATTCTAGACCAGGGGCGTCCAACTCCAGTCCTCGAGAGCTACTGTCCTGCAGGTTTTAGACACATCCTTGTTCCGACACACCTGAATCAAATGAATGGCTTGTTATCAGGCCTTTCCCAACCTTAAGCACATGCTGAAGAGGTAATCCAACCATTTGATTCAGCTGTGTTGGAGTAGGGATGCATCTAAAAGCTGCAGGACAGTAGCTCTCTCATTTTTAGACTGAGTTTAAGGACACGGTCCAAACTGTTCATCCAAAAGGACATCATGCTGCGGTTTACATGGTTTGCATTAACAGAAACATTTAGAATAAAAGAGGAAAATCACTATAACGTAAACTTAGATCATTCCCAAATGATTTTGGATTAAATTTAGCATCTTTGTATTTCCATAGACTAACGAGGATGCTAACTAGTAGGACCGTCTTATTCATCATCATGTTCAGGGTTTCCATCACTGCACTGTCAACTTGTCTGAGTCCATCATGTAGTAGAAACTACCAGGATGGGCAAAAATACACTTCTTTGCGTGGTCTGTATGTACAATGTAACAGGGATATACTTATATGATTGATGTGTATTTTTAACAGGACTGTCAATTCTAATGTGTGTTTTCTACTACATTAGCTGTAGCTGTTAAGCTGCCAAATACTCAACCTCGACCTACAGTCAGCTACATAAGTGTTTAGACCAAGGATAGGCAACACTAGGCCTCGAGTGTTGGTGTCCTGCAGGTTTTAGATGTGTCCTTGATCCAACACAGCTGATTCAAATGGCTAAATGACCTCCCCAACATGTCTTGAAGTTCTCCAGAGGCCTGATAATGAACTAATCATTGGATTCAGGTGTGTTGACACATGGTGATATCTAAAACCTGTAGGACACCGGCACTCAAGGCCTGGAGTTGCGTACCCCTGGTTTAGACAGTGACACAGTTGTTATAATTGTGCCTCTGTACACCACTGCAGTGGATTTTAAATCAAACATACAAGTTGAAATAAGAAGAAATCCCCTGAATCAAAGCTGAGAGTTCTCAACTTCTGCTTTTGATGGAGATGTAACTAAAACATTAAAACAGATTTTAAGACATTTGATACGTTTTAAATGGTCTGGCATTTATGTAGCACTTTCCCAGTTTACTTCACTACGAGCCACGTTGACACAGCACCTTTTAATTCATGCATTTAGTGCTTTATGTACAACGCATGCTGTTGCACACCCACAGGTGCACCGGGAGGGAATCTGGTGCTTAGTATACTGCTCAAGAATATTTCAACATATGCTGTGAAGAGGTAGATATCGGAACAAAGCCACAAACACCCAAAACTTGTATTGGTAAACGTGCATTTTAGAGATTTTAATACCTTTTAAGAACCAGTAGATACTCCATATTTAACACTGACACTGTATTACTGTCTTAAGAGACGCTATGCATTTAGCAGAGCGGTTCAGCCTGGGGTAGGTTTAGTGTAGCTGAGCGCAAGTCATATTTTTCATCTAGTGACAAGCTCTAGGGCCAAGTTTCTTTCACACACCATTAGTTTCATCTTGTCTTTCAATTTACTTCATCTCAACTGAGTGAATCACCTGTGATGGAATCAGCCAACCTCATAACCTCAAATGATCGCCCTTCCTCCCATTCCACCCAAGTGTACGTTTAAACTGGTAAATTTCACTGTGGCAGATACAGGAAACTGAACAAAGTAACAGTGACATCTTCCATTAACTTTTAAGTAGCCTATTTATAAAGGAAATGGGATTTCAGGGTGCTGACACGTTGCATTAATAGGCCAAGGGTTTGACAGCAAGGGTAGGCCTTGAGGAAAGGTTAAGCAGGTGGGGTCTGCAGGAAAAGCAAGTTCACATAGTTTTATATGATCATAAAGGAATCCTGAGACCAGTAACGATGCTGCAAACTGAAAAATGAGATCATAAAAACACAAGAATAAAATTATACAAACATCGAACACAGCTATTACCCATTAGCAGGAACATTAGAGGTAATTATGTTAAGAAAAGCAACACAGCCAGAGTGACATATGTTCATTTTAAGCCTTCAAGCTTGTGTATCATTCAGGTTGTTGAAGGGGAAAAGACACAATTGTCTGACTCCAAAAGCTTTATACATGCAGATCTGTTGGACACAACAGCTGTGAGGAAAGAGCTCATTTTTGAAACAACACGCTGGTGACCAAATCTGAATGACAAAAGCATATTTAAAATACAACACATTAGGCTAATGATGCTTTGATTTCAATAACAATTCAAGATTTTAGAAATGTTCCATTTACAAACTGCAAACAGCGCTAACTTCTCATCACAGGATGTTTGTCTGCTTTGCAAATTAGCGGGTTCATAAATTTGAACCCTTTATGTTTGGAGATGTTTTTAAAATTGGTTCAATTACTTTAGTAACTCCAGCTAAACTGTTCATAGTACCAATATTTATAAAAACAGCTTAATGGTTTACTGGTTTCACCCCACATCAGTCTACCCATGTGCTGACAGTAAAACTGGCACAATGTTAAACAAATCCAGGAAGGTGTGTCAGTGAGGGCATGTTGCTATTAAGATTATATGATTATTAATATTATGAAATGTGATCTTATGAACGGTGACCAAGGCTGAGTCATATTCCCGTAAGCGTGTGGTGCAAGGAGGAGGAAAATTGTAACAAAGCTCAAGAAATAAATAAAACGGAATTCAGGGAACATGAGCGAAGACATACAGTTAAACTTTATATTAATAAACTACTGGTGACAGCATAACATTAACCAAATAGTTGTCTGCATCACGTCAGTATAACAGCAAAGATTACAGAGCTCTACTGTAACTTAACAGTGAAAGTTTCTTGATGCATTTTCAATCATCCAGGTAAGTAAATCTCCAGAAGTTGATTCTGTTCATCTGTTCGTAGCGTTTTGTGGGAGAAATGTTTCATCACTCATCCAAGTGACTTCTTCAGTCTCAGCTGACTGAGAAAATTCTTACAGTGTAGCCAATCATGTCAAAAAACTGAAATACTGTGAATTGTTTTTTCCTTAGATCTTACATACATACATGTTAAGTGATTTATTTTAACCACCTAAGACCTTACGTCCACATATGTGGACACCACATTTTGGGTCGTCTAGACCAAAATACTGAATTTTGCTCTACATGGGCCTGATATCCACTTATGAGGACATTATATCGAAATTTAAAGTGAATGTGGATCTCAAAAAGAAAAAAGAAAAATCTGGTAATTCTTTGTTTTTGCATTCATCAGGTCCCAATCAGCCCAAATATCAAAGAGAAATTGAAAATGCATGCCATGAAAGAGTTTGGGTATTAGGAGGTTAAGGCGTATTATGGTTTAGAGGTCATCAACAGACTCTAGGAACCTGATTTACATAAGAAATGCAAAATTTAGTTTCAACTAAAAAAAAAAAAGAGGACTTTGGCTCTCCAAGCAGCAGCTCAGTTCTCTTTTTGCTCAGCCCGTCGTCTCAACGCAGAGATTAGGGATGTGATCGCAGGATGGATGGTAGGAGGACGATCATCACCTAGACAACTATGATGTCGGCAGTCTTCCCCGTGATTACAGTTGTGTGTACTGAACTATATAAAGAGATGCATGCCATTTATACTATTTGAATAAAAATCTGATCAACCTCAAAATAATTTGAGATACTCAGTTCCTGATTTTATAAGCTATGAGCCATAAAATATCATATATAAAAGTATCCTGAGTAATGTGTATATGTATATATGAAAGTTTACCCTTTTGAATTAAATAAAAATACATAAATAAATAAAACTTTTTTCCAGATGCAGTGGGATGTCTCCCTACAGCTGTCCTGCTTATGTGGAAATTCATTTAAAAAATCAGAGATGACCGTTTTCCAGCCTAAAACAGAAGCTGTGGCCTGAGGAAATGTTTGGGAATTTTAACCTTACATCCACAGATTTTTAAAATCGGGCCAGCTTTGCCTCTGGGCTTCAACAAACATTTTTTTCCTTTCGGGCTCACCTGTGGGCATTCGACACGTCCACACTCGGCCCTCTGACAGAGGACCTGACCCCGGCTGCAGGTACAGAACTCGCAGCCGGTGCTGTTCCACATGTCTCCATGGTAACGCACTGCACCCTGGTACTGGCAGCTTCCCTTAGCAGCAGCGCATTCATCACAGCACTGCCCGGCACGCTTCACTTTGGTCTGCCCCTGTTTGGAGGCAGGATAATGTCATTTACAGATGATGAAAGAATGCAAACGGAGCAGCGGGAGAAGACGACGGAAATCCAAGGAGCTTATAAAAATGCTGGTTTTGTGCATCTCTGTTTCAGCAGAGAGAGATAAGAGGAGCGAGGGAAGAGAGAGTGTGTGTTTTGCATTATTAAGGGGAAAGACACCAAGCGGAGTGGGCCGCCAGACCGTTCTTCTAACTTTATTTGAAAGTGCACAGAGGTGTGCTTTTCCTGACACTGCAGATGTCACGCTTACTCTGTATCTCAGCTCTGACAGCTACTGTAGTTTATTTTGACCCAATTTCACGCACATCAAGCAAAACCATCAACTGCAGGACTTTGAAATGTCGGGAAAAGTGGATGCAAACTGTTCTCGAGTCATATTAAGAAAATACTTCAAAAAAATAAATAAATTACACATTTGTGAAGCATATGATGTGCAATTTTATCAACACATGATTTACAGAAATGTAGTTTTCCTGACCAACATGGGTTTGCAGGGGGCCCGAGGCCTGTCCCATTGCACGGCCAACACAAAGAAACACACACTTGCATTCACACCTACGCCCTATTTAGAATCACCAAGTAACCTAACAGGCATGTCTTTGCATTGTGGGAGGAAGCCAGAAGACCTGGACCAATCACATCCAACGATCCCTTGTTAGCAAGGTGACAGTCCTAACCACAGCACCACCGTGCAGCCCTTACTTAAGAAAAACACCTGCAGGTTTACACTGGCTTCCATTACAATGTAGAATAAATGTTTAAATGCTGCAGCTAGTTTATAAATTGCTCAAAGCAAAGATATATTTTTCATGTGCCTAAAGAATTTAAACTCATTTCGGCTTTAGAGCGTTAGTCTGACTTTTTTCAATGGTTTTTTTGTGCATGTGTGTATTTGGTCTTGTGGGTTTTGTATTTTCTTCTTTGACAGCATCAACGTCACATCTTATTTTTTTCCATTTGATACATTTTCCCATGTTGCACTGGTAAAAAATACTTCCTGGATCTATTTCTAAGTTGTGTCAAGCATCACCTCTGGCAAAAATGTTCAAGTGAATCTGTTTTTTAACTTTCTGGGTAATCTGGCTGCTAAACTGATAATCTGAAGACTTAGTTATGAAAAGGTTAGCTTAACGTCTGGGGTGGGTTAGGTAAAGTGTCCAGAAAATAAATCTGAGGGCGTCTGAAATCCACGATGTGTTCGGAGACTCTAAAGGTTCAGAGATAGTTAGTGTGTGGCGACTTCTGCATAAAACCGAATGTCAGTGATTGTGCATGAGACTACTCACCTTGTCGCAGGTTATGGGTGGGCAGGTTTTAGTGTGGCATTTAGATTGACCCCGGTCACACACGCACATGGTGCAGGTGTTCTTCTGCCACTGCTCACCGTGCTGCCAAGAGACACACAAATACACATTTAGACCATCTCCAAACACACACACACTTTCAGGCTTACACACAGTGAATCACAAGCTGTTTGCAGGAAACTCACAGCTCATTTGAAACCAGTGAGCGCCTTCTTTTCTTTGAGAACAACAATGGGATGTTTCTGCAGTGTGAAAAGCATACAAACACGGAGCCAGCCACTCGATTTCCACATGATTCTCTTTAATTTGAAGACTATAACAGCACTGAGCTCAAACACTGAATACACAACTTGCACAGGAAGTGTGAAGAATTGAAACAGATAGTTAATGAAGTACTTGAAATATGTATGAAGCCTATTATTGAAAGCAAACTGGACTTTTATTGTGTAGGTCACCTTTGTGCAATCGCTGCCTTTTGGAACATTTTTAATGGATTTTGTGACAAAGAAATATGGCCTGCTCTGTGGTACAATTATCCAAAAAGCCAGTGCTGCATTTTTTGTTAGTGGACTTTTATTTATTAGCCTGTTACTTCACACTAAATAGAATTTATCGGTGTCTGTGGGTTGCACCAGATACTAGCTTTAATGTTAACACTCAACCCTCTGCCGCAAACATAGCAACCTCTGGCTTCAAAATCCCAGAGGTGTACAGGCACTTGTGTTAAAAAAATATTCTGGTAAAAGCTGAAGTACCGATTAAACTTCTTTATTCAATTAAAAGTGAGAAAGTTCAGGCTCGCTCACTGCTTTTACTCGTTGAGAAATATAGCTGCTGTATTTGTAGCTAGCAAAACACCGTGTGAGAGACTGCACAGAAACAGCTGATGTTTGTTGAGCTGATAGAAACTTGCATTTGAAAATACCTGCAAACTGAAAAAAAAAAAGCAAGAAAGTTTAAAGGTTACTCTCTTTGTAGCACTAGCTTGACGCTTGTACCGTGAACACAACTTATGAACTGCACCAAAAACGCTTAAATTTGCTTGACGTTTGCAGTCACACAGTGTGCAAAGTGCACCTGCTTTGAAAGCTGTTATGGTGCGTGGCTCTGTGTCTGAGGAGTGTTTGGGATGTCCCATTGTCCACACCCTCAGGTTGGGCCGTCACCATCACACCTGCATCCCATTCCAGGCGATTACCAGGAGGACTATTTAACCCTGCATAGACGGTTGCTCCACGCCAGTCAGTTATCACCCCTCAGTGGTTACTGTCCTGCTGCCTGCTTGGCTCTCAGAGTGTACCACCTGACCTCATCTCTGCCTCCTCGGATTTACCTCCCACGAGTCCCACGGTCCGGCTCTGATTGTAAGCCAGATTGCTCTAGCCCTGTCTTGTTGTGTCTCTCCATTCCCCTGCACACTGACAACCTTTTCCCCTTTTCTGTTGCAGCCTCCCACAGTCCCGATTACGGCTTCCCTGTGTCCTTTGTTTTCCTGGTTTCCTTCAGTTCTGCGATTAGCCTCTCGCCTCCCGTGGTTGTTCCGGGTCACCTTTTGTTGAATAATAAAACTTGTACTTGCTCGCACTGAAGCGTATTGAGTTTGCTTTTGGGCTCCACTTGATTGCGTGAACTGTGGTTCATGTCAAAAGTGTAAGGAGTAGAAAGTACAGATATTTGTGTAGAAATGTTGGGAGTAAAAGTTGCCCAGTGCAGAAACAAGTGGGTGACATCACAGTGGCTACGTCTGTGTTTTACATTCAGCATTCAGGTGTGGACGAGTGTTATCCTGCTGGCGGAGGTTGAGGATGTTAGGAGGATGTTACTCTCGGTGTTGTTGGTGCATTTCAGGAGGATGCTGCTAATAAAGTTAACCAAGTACACAGGGAATTTGCGTTTATTGTTATATTTACAAAAAATTTTGTGTTGGTCGTATCATTTTATTTTGTTGTATTTATCCACAACACCTTAAAGGCCGGGCTGTGAAAATATGTCTGACCTTAAACCGGTCCATGGCGCAGGTGGAGGTTGGGGACTGCTGCCTTAGAGGAGGGTGTGCTTGGGAAGCTGAAGTGTTTTGAACTTAACTCTTGGCTTTTTACCCGCCCATATAAATCTTGAGAGGATCCTATCCCACTCTACAAAGTATCTATCGGGGTTTTCTATAGAAACAGACTGGAATAAGTACAGTATCTTTGGGAGCATATTCATTTTTATAATGTCCACTCTAGAAGAGATGCTTAGATAAGGGATTAATGACCATCTGCTAATATCTAGCATGATATCTTTTTTAAGTAGGGGGTAATTGATTTCTTCCAAACTGGTTATATCCATTGATAAGTTTATGCCCAGATATTTGATAGTTCTTTTGTCCCAGCTTAGTTTGAATTTGCTAAGCAGATTTTTTGGGGGGCTATAAAAGCTACTAAGAACTTGTGTTTTTTGTATATTCAATTTATATCCCGAGTATAGCCCATACTCCTTTAACACTGACATGAGCTCCATAAGTGATTCGGTAGGTTTTGATAGGTAAACCAAAATATCATCTGCAAAAGAGGAGGGTGTGCTTGATCTGCAACACTTAGGTGGGCATGAATGTTAAAGTTTCCCACCAGAGCACTGCAATGACATCACTTTAGCTTTTTCCTGGTTTAAATACAGTCATTTAATCAATCATTTAAAATCATAGTTCTTTGATCTTCCTTGGTCTGTTGTAACAGGTATTTAAAACAGTGAGCAGCATGTTAAACTGCACCTTTTCTACAATATTGTTATTGTTGTCAATGTTAATCAAAAACGCAAACACACAAAACATACACAGAAAACAAACAGCTCTTATGTCATTTGGTTATTATTATGTTTCTTGGTCAGCTGTATCCTTCACAAACTCTTCATGCAGTGATCGATGACGGGTTTCAAACGCATCCATTTAATTTGTACCTTCTGACTCCCTTTCAGAGAAAACATTTGCCTGTGCGCTATGTTGTCATGATACCAAAGGAAATGTCGCACAGATGTTCCACGTCTGATGTGTTTAAGATCCTAAACGTATTATCTGTTTAAATTTAAGGTCAAATTCTGTAAATGTCAGATTAAATTCCAACTTCCTTCCTCCTCCACCCTAAACTGCTCAATTAAATATTGATTATAGCCCAGAGGATGCAAATTATTTCATTATTTAAGGCATCAAAACCCTGTGAGGCACACTGTAGAGCTCTTTGAACATAACATGCATGAAACTCTCTTTCGTATGCATGCGTATTACGAAGTGTATAATAATGATCTATATCACAGAGGTCCAAACTACTTCACTCTCTTCTGAACAGCCAGGCTGATTAAAGGACGGCACAATAAATAGCTTTTAGGATGCATAATGTTAATAAAGTCTTAAATATCTGGAATCATGTGCTGTATACATGCAGACACACTTATTTACATTTCCTATAACTTCATCCACGTTCACATTTAGACGATTTCTGCACCAACGATGGAGACTTTTAACAGTCACCACAGATCCCATGATCGTGTTACAATTTTGAGGGTAAAAGCAAAAACGATGCCTGTTATAACCCATTATAATGTGTCCTTTGATCCTTTTTGCCTTTGTGAAGTTTAGCTTGTACTACAGAGCAGGTTAAACATACTCAGGACATCTTTAATAAAATTGGTTACGACCTTGACAGGCCAACCCAGAGTTTATAGTGTAGATACAAGTTCACATGACAGTATGGCGAACCGCAACATGGACAGAAATGCAAGCTGAGGAGGCCATAATTCACAAAGTGGATCAAACTATAATATTAAGAACAGCACAAGGAGGTAAACACATAAAACAGACTGAAAGAAGTGTGATTGAGAGAGGAAACAGTATTTTTAAATGCTGTATGAAAGTGTTTGAGCTTTATTCTGTACTGGAACACACACGAGTCTATTGGAAAGCTGTCAGTATCACAGCTCTCTATCACTAAAACAGTGGATGAGATGAATGTGAGACGGTTTTAGCTTCTTTCAGCCGCATCACTGATGGTGTTAAAGTGTCTAAGTACATAATTCAAACACAGGATTAGCCAACCAACACATTTTACATAAGGTAAACAAGTAAAAGGCTCCCTGTAGGTGTTTTATAATCATATCGCTATAGAAATAAAAAGGTTCTTCTATTTAATGTGCTTTTCAATATTTACTGATCTCTCAAAGTGCTTTGAGTACAAGTCACATTTAAACACATATTGATCAAGTGAATCAAAATAGACCATTACGGCAAGGCTGGGATGGTCCATTTGGTAAAGTAAAACCGTTGGGCATCTTTCTTCGCCTTTAGACAATAATTCTGATGGCAAAAGAACCAAACGGGACAGGCAAAAAACCCCAAAACCATATATTGATCAATTTCTACCACTTCTACAATCTCATATCTATGGCTAAGAATTATTAATTAACCTAGCATGCATGTCTTTGTACTGTTGGAAGCTGGAGTACTGGAGGAAACCCACACATGCCACGCAGAAAGGCCCCCAGCTGGGGTTTGAACCAGGAGCCTGATTGCTGTGAGCACCAACACCTCTAACCATGCCACCACTGTGCTGCCCTCTCCCTTATAAATAAAGTGTAGAAATGAAAAATGGACACATTGTGAGATTGGATTCTTTCCATTTTTAAATGTGAGAATTAGAAATTCTCCCAAAGCTCTGTTAATTTTTTCTTTTGAAGTTGTTGTTATGAATACTACATGTGTTTTACACACACACACACACATATACAATAACATGTGTGTGTGCAACAGATGTGGAGGCACTCTGTGACTGTATAGCTACTCAGTTAGGTAATCGACACCAGAGGCGAAGCATCACAATTCCTTCTCTTATCCGTCAAGATGACGCCAACATGAATGAGAGTGAGTGTGTGTGTGTGTGTGTGTGTGTGTGTGTGTGTGTGTGTGTGTGTGTGTGTGTGTGTTAGAAAACGCAAACACACATTAGATAGAATGGGACATTCTGTGATCAAAAGAGAAAGTTGGCAGTGAGCGAGATGGGAGCATGTGCACTGCAAACACAGCAGGAGAGGAGAAGGAGGAGGAGGAGAGAGGAAGGCTCAGACTTTTCATGTCAATAGAGACATTCACATATTCACTGCATGCATCATATCCTCACTATCATCACAGATATTCTAATCAATGTTTCAGGTTTCAAATGTATAGATTTATGAGCCGTTATCAGCTGCCTCCAACACACAGAGGCTTTGTAAACCACAGGATTCACACAAATCTGCACAATAACAGGTGCATACACAGTACAAGCACAGTTCAAACACCCACAGGCTGCCTACCTGATACTGTTTTCCAGCTGACAGACAAGGGTTGGACACACACTGGGGACAGCACTCTCCTGGCTGGATCACCAAGTTCTCATGCTGAGGAAACATTGCACACACACAAGCACAAACCCTCTCAGATTAGCCGTTATTTCACTGTATTTCACACAACAAAGGGCATATAAGCTTTGACAGTACTGTTAGCCCACCTGACATTTTAGCAAATACAATTACCAAGAGGTTGATAAGATGAATTTCATCCTTAGCACAAAGCCAAACCACCTTGCAACAACTTCAAACCTTTCTTACTTACTTGCATTTCTTTTTTTAACACATGAATATTTATTTAACCTGTGAAGGAATAAAAAGGAGCACTAAAATAGAAAAAAGAAGTGTCTATAACCCAAGAGGCATACTGGAATTTAAAACAGGCTCATCTATCTTTAGCATTTCAATATAATTTGTTTCTTTTCTAAGAATAGCTGAAATAAATATTCCATTTTGGTCGTGTATTTCAGGTTGTTTTCTGTGAGCGGTGGCAGAGTGGAGCAGGTGACTGATGCAGCATTTGCAGGCCTGGTCTGTTGTGGTGAGAGTACAGGTGAAAGTGTCAGTGTTCCTCTCCTCACCCATGACCACGAGCTGTTAGTCACCGAGAGTAAAAATACGACAGAAGCAGCGAAAATCAGTCCGAGTCTCTGCGGTTAGCTTTAGACTAGAAAGGTGGTGAGCTGAGGGATTTGGGAGGTAACAGAGGAAAGCTGACTAGGATGGATCCGAGACACCTCCTTCCAAATCCTTCTTTTAATGCCAGTAGGTTTAGTGAATTAAAAACAGTGACTGCCCACATAAAAATTAAAGATCAAAACCTCTTAAAATTGTGTGTTTCTGGAAACCTACCGGTTTGCAGGCCACTTGCTGACACTCTGCTACTGAACACTGGACCTCTCCATTGCTGCAGACACATCTGGAACAGAGGCTGGGCTTCCACTCCTCTCCATCCCTGTAAACGATCCCCTGCCAAGAGCAAGACTCTAACAAACACACACACACACACACAGATAAAAACTAAATGAGTAAATAGTGTAAGGTAATGAGCTGACAGTTCAGGCATTGTTTGCATGCACACAGAGTGATTTAGAGTCAGGAGAGAAGAAAGAAAGTAGTAGCGAATTAGCTACTAACCACTGGGATGCATCATAGCAGCTCAAAGACGTCATTACAGTCTCAATTAACCTTTCAGCTCCAATCTGGCTGCTCTGTGCACTCTATAAACTCTGGGTTTGTCACAACACGATCCAAGTATAGGAGTGATATGTAAAAAGAGTTCATCTCTAGTAATCTACTGCATGTCTGACATACACCAATCTGATATTTATGATTGGGTATCGGTCCAATCCTCAATCAAAAGCAGAATCGGGCATAGGTAAAAATGGGCTGATCTACAGATACAGAAAGTTATACTCCTGGATGTATCTGTTTGTGCCTTTAGGTCAAGCCTGATGTTGCCTTACATATTAAAGAACTACTCCCAGTCTATTCCTCAGGGTGAGGAATGCAGCTTATTTATTTAGCACTGATAGCACTGCTCAGTACTCGGTACGGCCAACAGTTATATCCAGTAATTAAAACATCATTCAATCAGCTGTAAGAAAGGCCTTTAAACCCATACCTGACTAAGAACTGCTTTGCATTTTTATTGCTGTTTCATGTGGTTGGATACATCTTTAGCATTTAAGCCTTTGGACATTGGGATTAATTAATCATGCCTTCCTGAAGCTAATACTGCGGGAAGAATATTTTAATAACTTCTAACTTTTAAGTTTTGGAAAATAATGCAGTCACACAAATCACCGCTGGCATAAAGTTTTCAGAAAGTCTGGAGCAGCTCGTCAAAAAGTGTCAGGGCCCGGTCAGACTAAGGAGTACTGATGAAACATTGGGGTTTTAAAATTAGGAGATGATAATGTTTGAGGTTGAGTGGTCATGCAGCCTGTGTGCACTGTTTTGAGAATGAGGTGTTTTCTCTTTACTTAGTGGTTTTTATTCAAAGTCATTAGTTAAGCTGCTGCTGGCGGACGCCTGAGGTCTCACTCAGGCTACATCCACACTAATGCCTTTCCGCTTTCAAACGAAAACGATGCGCTTTCTCTCCCGTCCACACTGAGACGCCGTTTTCCCCAAGGAAAAATGCAGCGTTTTGAAAGCGCTCTTGAAAATGCTGCATTTCAAAACGGAGCTGTCCTGTCGCAGTGTGGACACTCGAAAATGCAGACTTTCGAAAACGATGACGCATGCTGGTTTATATGATGCAGTCATGTGACGACTTAAACCAAGAATTTAGTGCTTTGTCTTGCCATTTCGCCGCCACGTTTCAAAGAGCCGGAATGTAAATAAACAAGGGAAATGACGCAGGTCGAGTCGTCTTGCATTTCACGCATGCGTGGAACTGCAACGTCGGCTGTTTTAGTGTGGACGTGCAACTCATTGAAAATGACTGAAACCGCTAGTGTGGACGCGGAGCGTTTTCAGACAAAAACGCCATTTTCAAATCCATCCGGGCTAGTGTGGACGTAGCCTCAGTCGAGGCGAGGCAAAGCATCACTGTCAAGTAATAAGGGTTTGTTCCTGTGTGGACAACATTTACCTGCAGTTCTCACCAAAATGCATTCGGTCAGCAGATTCATATCTTCTACTTTTTCAAGTCTTAGCTTAGTTTTGGAAACAGATACTGCAAAAGGAAACGACACTTTATAGATTTAATGAAGCTTTGGTATCTGAAGAGCTACGGCAACATTCACCTTTGGTGCAAATGTTGAGAGACATTTTAGACAATAAAGACAGAGGCTGATTCACATGAGTCATTTGTTCACTGGAATATAATTTCAATGTTTTAGCAGAAGAGCGCGCAGCAAGATAAACAGCTGCCAAATATTAAATTGCAGACAATTAAGTAGAAAGCTGTGTCTTTGCGTATGTGTCGTGTTTCCTGTTTTACTTTGATAGTCCGTGTCCCATGTCAGTGTAGCCTGCTTTGCTTCCTGTCTCTCGTTATGTCAGATTACCCCCAGCTGCGCTTCCCTGTTGTTTCCCATTCCCTCGTTACGCCGTTTTTAAGCCCTGTGTTTTCTCTGGTATTTGTTGCATTGTACCCTCACTACGCTGTGTTTCTTCCCTCTGTGTGCCAACGAATTCCTAGTTCCTGGTTTATTTTCTAGTGTTCGGGTTTTTGTTTTGTATTCGTAGTAGTAATTTCCAGCGATAAATTTCCCGTGTGTGAGTCCTGCGTTTGGGTCCTGCATCCTACCTGCCACAGAGCAAACCATGACACAAAGAATGTGACGCATCTGCAAAGTCTTTCTTTTTCATTTACTCCTAAAAACTAACAAAAAGAAATCATATCCATAGTCACCACCACACAGTTTTGCTTTGTTTGCATATATCGTATTCATCCTACCCATTTGTAGATGCCCTTTCAAAGATATCTAAAGATCAATTATTCTCTAAATTAATTAAAAGAAGCAAACAATTTCCATGAGATGCAACATGTTTTTCATGTATCTACACAGAGTTATGATCATTTAAAAGAAAAAAAGCAGTACCAACAATCTACAAAATATGCTATGTGTTAGCCCTAATTTAGCCCTCACCTCCACTGCTGCCACACTTGGGGCAACACTCCCCGGCTGGGGTGAACAGGCTTTGATCCTCGGGACAGGTGAGATGCGGGCAGGGTCGAGTGCTGCAGGATACGCTCCCTCCGGAGCAAGTACACACTGAGCAAGGCGAGGGACTCCACTGACTGTCATGCTGTGGAAATCAAAGAAACCAAGTGACAGTTACACAGAGAAATACAACGAGGGTGCAAAGAAAAAGAGGAAACAGCAGAGAGACAGTGGCAAGAGGAAAGCTGTTTTCTTTCTGTAAACGTGACGACTTTGTAAGGCTAAGCCTGAGTGACAGAGAGCAGAGTCGCAGAC